AAAAATCGGTATAAGAAATTTGTAATCTTTTTGCTTTTTATATAATAAATGAGAATTTTTTGTCTTTTCTATTTTTTCCCCTATCTACTCGTGTATTGTATAAGAGATTCCCTTCCGTTTCAAAATTTCCAATTCAGGTGGTTTATGATAGAATAAATATTTTCTTTTTCATTTTGTTTTTCTTTTTTCAAATGCTAATTTAAGCAAATCCTATGGAGGTACACGAATCATATATTATACAAGTACAAATTTATTAGAAGAGAAAGTGGAAACAGAATTATAATAATTCAATGATATAAGAACCAAGTATATATTTTATAATAATAAAAAAAGGAAAATATAGAAAAGAAAAACAAGAAAAAGAAAACGGAAAAATTAAAATAGAAAAATAAAAATGAATACAAAATAAGAACCACAAATTTAATGGATAATTTAACTTTGCGATACGTGCTTGAAACTTAATTCTAATATATGTGAATCTCTATGAATTTTTTTAACTTTTGTTATACGTAGATATTTATAAAATATCTTGTTCTACACTAATTTTAGAGTACAATTAAATATGTGTAAATATATTGTATATACATATATAAGCATATATTATAAGCATATATAAGCATACCTGTACCTCTTACGGTATATTATATAATAAAAATCTTTGAAAATTTGTAAGTTTGTCATATGTATGTGTATAATATATTTTATTTAATATTATTTTTGGTATTAAATTTTGGTTGCGGTAAATTTGTATATATGAATATATATATATATATATTATGGTGGCAATATTATTATTACACACTGGACTGATTGGAATACGTACAAATACTGTTATATTTACTTGAATTATTTGCAAGGAAGGTATACATAATTCGTATATATTTTTGGAGCGTATACTAATTTATATATCATAGTTATATAGTGTGATCATGTGTGTATATAGCAAAAAATTAATATGATATTTTTGAAATCCTTAAAGGTCACCAATTTGATTATCGTTATATTATGGCAATAATATAAATTTGTTATTATTATTGGTTACGTGTGCGTGCGTATAGGAAAATGGAAAATTTTATTTATTTTTTTCCTTTTTTATTTTCGTACCACCGATATTTTTTTTTTGTTCGGGAACGTTTAGTTATTTAGTAAATTTTTATTTCTTATTTTTTTCTATTTTTCATTTATAAATATATTAGTCAAAGTACGAAATGTTTTTTTTAAATAAAGTATACCCATATTAAATAAAAAATGATATGAAAATAAATTGTGAATTGATGTTATACTAAAATATTAAATTATTTTTAAAATTGTACAAATTGTAAATTTTTGTAAATATTAATATTATTCTAGAAAATGTTATTTAATTTTTTAATAATCTTTTCTTTTTGTCATATAGTTATACTTCTAGTTTTTGATTTTAAAAATAGTGATTTTGAATTCATTGGTTTTCATTTAATTAATTTTTTGTTTTTAAGTATTCCCCTGTTGAAATTTAATTGTAACTACTTTGCGTATATACTAAATAATTAAATATATTACAGTGTCTTGATTTTTAAATTTAAGGCAAAGAAAATTGAAATTCGAAAGAAGATCTTCGAAATTCCTTTGATTACATTACCAATTTGCCCGTAAGTTTCAAGAAAATTCGTAATCTCTTTTAAAATTTTTAATGATTACTCATTTAACATGTAATGTAATTAAAATAAGGCTAATATTTGTATTGTAAATTTTTTTCTGATAAAATATTGCATAACTTTAGGTGCTAATAAATGATTATTTTGTCTTTAAACAATTCGGCAATGCTTTCAGTCAAAAGCCGCTGCCGTTTGTATTACGAAGAAATTTTTGGTATTAAACTACCTATAAAATATTTAGTAGATTTATAGTTTTTAAAAATTCTTTGAATAAGAAAAACCTTGTTTTTAAATATTCAAAAAATTTATACAATAACACAGTTTGTTTTTGTTGATTGTATTTAGAATAACAACAGATCATTAATTCAATAATTTGTCATTAAAAGAAAACTTAATTACCGTGCCAAGGCGCTGTAAGAAAATAGATTGCATTGACAGAAGAAAATTTATCATAAGAATTTTTGAAAAATTTTAAAAGAGTTTATTTTTTTTAAATTCTTTTTATAAACCTACCATAAATTAAGAATTTCATTTAAAGCGTAAATACGAATAAAAATTGTTGTCTAAAATTGACAATTGAAAAAATTTAAACTTAGCAGAATTGTTGTTGCTTAATGGTTTGCGCAATATTACAGCCATAACAAAAATTTGATGTTAAAAATAATCTAAACATGACGTATGTAAAATAATATACTTAATTTCTTGTGATACACAAACATCAAAACACCTACAACTATATGTTTAGAATATTTTCTTCTAGAACCTACCGTTTTTATCTAAAACGGTAATCTCAATATTTTAAAATTTTTCAAACGGAAATTAATCCCATTGAATTGTTCTAGAGAAGAAATAAGAAAAACTGAACAAGAAAATGATTAGAATTATTTCTAGCACAAAACAAAAACACAAAAAAAAAACACATAACAAAAACTATTATCCTAGGAAATTTTAATCTTGGAATTATTTTAAAAAAAAATATTTAGTGTATAAGATTGTTAGTAAACATGAAAAAGAAAAAAAAAAACAAGCAAAGTTAATGAAAAGAAAAAAAACAAATTCTCATGTTATTTTTGTTTGAAAATTATTGCAAAACTTGGTTGACAGTTGGAATAACAAGGATATATAAGGATAAGATTTAGTGCACAAACTTGGTTATTATTATTATCACTTCCTTTTGATGTTTTTTCTTCTTTTTTTGTGTTTTCTTTGCAAAATTTTTATTATAGCTTAAGATTTTCGTATTTCGGAAAAGATACTTGAAATTTTTCTACTATTAGCATATTTACAGTTAAACTTTTTTTTTTGTTTTTGAATAAAACTTACATTTTTCTTATCAATATTATAAAATCAGTAAAACGAATTTGTACGGAGGCTGATTTAGAACACTAAAATTTAGGAAAAACACAAAAAAAAAAATCTTAAAAATAGTTTTTCTTAAATATTCAAAATGTCGATTCAAATAAAACAAAAATTTTATTAGTATTTTGTGAAAAATTTTTAATCGTAATGAACACTAGTGTATACGTGTATAATGGCATACTCTTATAATGGCGTCTATATTTATGTATTAAAATTCATATAAGTTATTTTACGAAAGAACAGATGTCGATTGCAAACAATTTAAGATTTTTATTGATTAAGACAGGCGTAACATAAAATATTTTTGAAAACAGTATTTAACTGTATAAATTTTTAAGAAACAATAATGCTTTCTAATTTGAGAGTAATTTCTGGCTGTGTCTTGCAATTCTGATAAATTTTAATAATATTTTGAGTATATAAAGTCTTTAGTGTGGTTTGAATTAACGATAATTATGACAATGTGCTCCACTTATAGTTTTGCTATAAATGAGTCTTTAAAATAGTTTATATATTTAATATGTACTTCAGAAGTACTCGAAATTAAACGAATATTTTTAAAGCAATATAATGCGAATTCTATTAATTACGATTATGTTATAAAGCGTTGTTGTTAAATTTTTGTATAATTTTTCATAAATATCTATTTTTTTTCCACCTTCTAAATATGAAATAGTGGGACATTGGGAGTGTACAAGATGATCACAAGCTCTCGGATGGTGATTCGCTGAAATTTTTAATTAAATAAGTCGTATTTGGAAAGGGGGGAGAGGATTAAAAAAAATCGGACTGAATATTAGTTATAGCTGTGAAACTGTTGCAACCAGAGTTAAGTTGCGTCCAGCAACGTTTTTGTCAATTAATAGACCTACGTAAATGATTGGTATCAAGTAATAGCTGCTCAAATGCAAAATTTTGGATTGAAAAACTGTAAATTTTTCAAAAAAGAACACTATTATTTTCTGAAAAAATTCCGCTTCTCGAACCTCCTATATCAACTCCTCGATGCATCAAATCATCCTCTACAACTTTGCTGTACACAATTTTCATGGTACACGAACTATTTTTCATGCAACTTTGAAAAATAAAAAAATCGCCTGACTATATGCAATTTTTCGATTTTTATATTTTAATAAAAATGTATAAAATATTTTGAAACATAGACTGGCTTTAATATTTCATATTTATTTTAGATATTTTCATACTCTGATATATTTAAATTGGGCTGCAATAAGACGGTTACAATAGTTATTGCTAAAATTAATTCAGATAAGATTTTCTATTGCAGAACTTTTTTTTTTTGATTTTCCACATTTAGGATTTTCTTTTTTCCTCAATTTAGAATTAAAATTAACATTTCATATGGCCAACTTGCAATTGCATATTAAAACAAAAAATTTATACTCCAAAAAAAAACTTTATATCAAAGTGAATGGTCACTTGACCTAAGCAATTTTTATCGCGCAAAAAAAGAAATTCAATTTCAATATAATTTGGAATTCCGTTTTTTCGTGTACTATTTTATATTCTAAAGAATATACGGTGTTATAAACGTACATACATTTATTCCTAATATGTGTACTCCTATATACATACATCAAATATACATCCCTATATTGAAATAAAAATCAACTTACCTCAAAATTTAAATATAATATTGAGCAGTTAAAATATTTATACAATATTTAAAGCTCTTACTATGTATGTACACCTATATTATTGTGGGTATTATAAACGCTTATATTCGGTATACATATATATATATATTTGTACACATAAGTGTATTTAAAAAAATACCACTTATTAAATGAGTGCAACTTATTTCTCCTTTAGTTTTAAACTTTGTTTGCTTATTCCACATCATTTTCAAGCAAATAAATTTATTTGTTTTGTTTCTTTTTGTTTTTACCTTAAAGAAGCCTTTGATCATTTTTAATAGCTTTGATGTACTACATACATATTATATAAAAAAAAAAAATTGTATATATTTTATAATATGAAACTCACCGATTTTTTTACAAAAGAAACAAATCCATATCCTTTTGATTTGAGTGTTTGCGGGTCTCGCACTACTCTGCAGTCTCTGAAACAAGAAAATCAAAAACAAAAACATGAAAAATATTATAAAGGTAGAAAAAGAAGAAGAAGAAGAATAAAAAAATGTTTTAATTACTCTGACTTATATTTGATATCTTTTGAGATTTATTTTGTTTTTTTTTATTTTTTAAGAGAAAAAGGGAATTCTAAATGCATATAAAAAAAAGAAAACTATTTTTTTTTCTTGCTTTGTGAATTTATAAAAGAAATGAAAGAAAAAAAAACCAGAAAATCTAGTATAAAAGTGGGGCAAATTTTGTGAAATGAAATGAAAACATTGAAAAAAAAAATTTTTTGTTTCCATAAGAAAAAATTTTTTATTAAAAGAAAAGAAGATGAAAACATTCACAAGGACGGAAAAACCAACATTTCAAAACTTTTTTCTTTTTCTTTTTATTTCTGTTTTATTTTTTTGTTATTTTTGTTGTTAAACAGAGGGATAGTGTTATTTTGGAGCTCCGCTTGGATAGATAAGTGAGTACAGGGATGTAATCGGGTACCTCTTTTTTCTGTATTAAAATTAAAGGAATTTAGCCACGCCAAAATAAAAGTGCGACCAATAAATTATTCATCGGCGATTTCATTTACTGCTTTTCATTTAATTGATTATTCCAACTGAACTGGAATATAACTCAGGAAAAATTAATTTTTGTCAAGCAGGACATAAGGTATACATTGCGTTTATTCAAAGAAAATAAATTTAAACTCATATATATCGTAAAAAATTTATTTAAATTTAATTTTAAGTTCAGATTCGTTGTTAAACAGTTTTATTACCTTAATGTTTTCTCCATTTAATATAAACGTTTAATAAAAACGGTTTTTATGTATACAAATGCCAGGAAACAAATAATTTTGAGAATCGGTTCTGTTTTTCCTACGAGAGATGTGCCTTTGTTGACCGACCGTAGTTTTAATAAATGTAATCGTACAATTAATCGTAAATATACATTAAATTTCAGTTTTAGTCTGTTGATATTTTAAAGTGTTAACAACCGAATTCAAAAAAAATTTGTTTTTCAAGAAACTATAGTTTTAATAAAAAAAAAAAAAGAAACAATTTAGCCACAGATTTCGCCTATTTCTATACTCCGATAACACAGGGCTAAACTAAAAATACTGAACTTAGGTGTTCACAATTCATAATTTCCATTCCTTATTGAATACATTACATAAAAACTCCTACACATTCTTGAAATACAACTCTGTCATTGAAAACAGAAAGTTATTACCGTAAAAAAATATTGTGAGAAAAAAATTATGCATATATATCTACCTATACATTGTATTTATATATCCAAGTCCTATAAAATTTACGTACAGATGTATGTGTTTGTATAAGAGGGGTTGCACTTTTAATGTTCAAATGTCCATGATATCAAAGATAAATTTATTTTAATTGTCGTTAAATTTCACTTAATTATTATTTCAAAATTTAGATGCATGCCTATGCATACGTACATATATATATCTTATATGTATGAAAATATACGTATAATATGTATGTATGCAATTTATAATATTTTTTAAATATTTACATATTTATACAAATTAATTTTTTACCATATATACTTGTATAAATGTTACTCTTATGTGTGTACCTGTAAATGTATGCGTTTAAGAAAAAAAAATATGATAACAAAAAAAAAGAGTACAGTTCTCATTAGGTTTAAATCCTTGAAAATAATTATTGTTTTGCAATAATTAGAGCGAAATGAGGAAGTTATACTTAAGATTTTTGTTATTTTTCTTTTTTGTTTTTTTTTTTCTTCTGTGAAACAAAAGTATATTACTAAAATGAATTGAATTTAAAAATAATAAAAAAAAAAAAATCTCTTATATTGAAATCAAATTTCGGAAATTAATTAATTTTTCTAGAATTTTTAAATTTTTTGTTCGGTTCTTCTTGTTTTTCTTGTTTTTGTTCATTCTCTTTTATATAGTTTTCTTCACTTTGAACAAAAATAAAATGAAATAATCCTTAAATTTACACACACACACATGCATAAATATTTTTTTCTTATTTGTAATTATTTTTTTTTTTGTTTTGGTTCTTTTTTTGAAAACATCCTTTAATTATTTCCTAATTAAAAAGAAAAGAATTTTATTAAAACAAAAACATAAAAAAATTGTTAAAGAAAATTATTTAAACCGATTTTTCTCACAAAATTTTTTTCTTAATAACATAAGTGATGATTGTATTGTACATAGTAAAATAAAATGATAAAAAAAAGGATATTTTCATATAAATCATTGAAAAAATAAAAAAAAAATCCCATATAAATAAAACAAAGATGAAGAAAAACAGGATTTATTCATTTTTTTTTACATTGTATTCAAATTGTGTTCAAAATTGTGTTTCTTTAATATTTTCATTTATTCATGTATGTATGTGTTGGGTTAAAACACATGTATTTTTCAGAGATAACATATAATATAAATCATACGAGTACACATAAAAATTACAATAATATTTTTTTGATTGTATACAAAAAGGAAATGAAAATTTTTATAGATTTTATTTTTCAAGTATTTTAATGCGTTTTATAATTTTATTTATAAAATTATTATTGTTTTTTTTTTTTATATTTTGTTTTTATCATCTTATATTATAAATTGTATGTCATATCCTTTTCTTTAGTTTTGTCTCTAATGAAATGTCTACTGTTTACAGTTCAGTTTGGAAATATTTAAATTGTATCATGTTATTCAGATATTGTGATTATTAAAAAATATACTTTTTATTTTATGTGATAGGAAAGAAAGATCTTGCTTTAAAGATTGTCCCAGAATGTAAGTTAAAATATCCTTGTTGCAGTATAATTCACCTAAATTGTTAGTAAACTATAAAAAATCTAATTTACTATAATTAAATTTATTTTATGTAAAAATTGTATGACAAACATTCATCTCAATTGACAAAAACTCAGAAATTTTTACTCAACTCCGTTTAAATGTGAATAAAATTAAATAAAACACTGATTCTCAACCGACCTCCAAGAAACATTTATTTCCAATATGTTTAACATAGGAATAATATAAAGCTGTTAAAAAATCTATTAATTTTGACACATTCTAGGGCCTTAAACTAGTTTCTTATGCTTTTTTTTTCATACAAATTCTGATAGAAAAAAAATCTTTGAACACACATTTTTTTTTATTTCTTTCCTTGGTTTATTTTGCTTCTTCAAAGCAGTAGACGAAGGGAATAAAATTACTAAAAATGATTTTTTATACGTGACCGGTAATTTTTCCCGGTCTTCACTGTACATTAAAAAATTATGTAATGTTTTCTGCGTAATATTTATATTGAATTGCAAAACTAAAAAGAGAAAATTTATTTTTAATGAAAATATTCGAAACATTGCATTAATTGCATTGAAATTAAAAAGCAGAAAATGTTTAAGTGTAATAAAACTATAAAATAAGAAAATTTATCTAGGTTAATAGATAATAAAAATAAAATTTAAATATAAAAATAAATATTTTAAAAATAAAATAATTTTTATAAAATCTTAAAGAAAATAAAAATTCAATATAAATTTTAATTAAAAATATTATAGATAATATTTTTTTTTTATTTAATAAGGAAATAATATTAAATTTAAAAAATATTTGAAATAAACGCTGACTAATGCATGAGTTAAACAGCTTTTTTTTAAAACTAACTTAAGATAATTACTCATTCTCCATGGATTTGTTACAATATACTGAGGAATTTATAGTGTTCTTTAATTATAAAGACCAGTTCGCCATAATCTCCACATATAACAATTTTACTACATTGGAAATAAAGTTTTAACAATAAGTAAAATAATATTACTTCTGAAATTGAACAGCAAAGAACAGTTACGATTTTCATTATTTCGGATAAGCCAATAAACTTCACAAATAAAATTTATTATCAAGTAGGTATTCCTTAACATTTTAATTATAGAGTTTTAACTGATTTAGCTCTTAAAAATGACTGCTTAAAAAATTTATAGTCGTTAAATAATAAATTATTGGCTCTCAATTCATATTTAGTTCAAGAGATGAAATTGTTAACGTATTTAGAAACTAGAATATGTTTTTATATAGGATTAGCATAAATGTATCGTAATTTTTTTATCGGAATTTCTAATAGGACAAATTAAAACGTAATTTCCTAGGTTATGCTTCATTTTTTTCTTCATGAATGCATGCTTCGTTCCTTTTTTCTCGTATTATAATAATAAAAATTTATAAGAATGTTTTCTTTAATTTTTAATATTTTTAGTTTTTCAATCATAAATAAACGAGTAGGTGCTCTTATATATAGAATAACTTTTTCTTAGTCCTTAAAATATCAATTTTTTATTTTAATCATGCTTGTTTTATTTTTGTATTTACATACATACTTTTATGTACCAACTATGATAATTGTAAATTTTGTATATTGGAATGTATTAACAACTATATAAAATATCTACTTAAGTTATACAAGAGGATATTGCATCCGTTTTAATATTCTAAAGACAAGTCATTTTTCTTCAACTTTTCTCATATACTATACGATTAGTCCTGGATGTATCCTTTACATATTATATGCACATATTTATATATAAGTTGATCCATTTTTCTTTTCTTATATTTTATATTATATATACACTTATGTGTACTATTCTGTAATACATCTTCATATTTAAATATAATTTTTAACATTTCTTTCGGATTATTATAAACGTATGTATATTTTTGTATGTAAATTTTACTCTCTTCACTTTAAGTTTTCTTCATTTTTATTTTATTTAGTATAAAAATATATTGAATCATTCATTGTCAACTTATCCTTTATTTTCATATATACATAAGAAATAATATATATGTATATATATAATGTATAATAATATATCTTTGTAGTTATATACACCTAATATAAATTTATACTTATCCAAAATGTTAACGTACCAAATAAATGCAAAAATGAGAAAAATATAATCGTAATATATATCCTTTTTAACTCCC